TTTTATTAGGTATGCACCGAGTTTCATGGCATCGTTCGTAGATAGTTTTATTTTAATGTTTTCGATATTCTAAATTACCTATATAAATCCACTTCAATTAAGCAATCTCAAACTTTAATTGAAGCTAAGTATCTGCATTGCAAAATGTCTAATCAAAAGTTTTAAACTTTTTTTTTTTCCACCCAACAATTACGTCATAATATTACTATTATAATATAGATGTATAAGCATTTTATAATATTATTATTATTAGCAATACTGTGGATCATTTCATAATAATATTAATATGTGTCTGAGTTTTGTAATATTATTATGCTATCATTATTACATTTCAATTGCTTTGCAAGATCATTTAAAAAAATAAATCAAATCTAAGAGCAAATATTTAAATAGAAATAATATGAAATAATGTTTTAATTTAATATTATAGATGAACAGAACTGTTGGTTATAGTTATAGTTATACTTATAATGCTTGATTGATTGAATTTCTTTTCATTTAATAGAAATCTCTAATTGATAATATATATTTTATTGTTCTTTTCAAATCATAACAAAATTTAACCATTCCAAAATGAAATACTAGTGCATTAATAAAGCATTAAAATTCAATTTAATCTTTATTATTAGTGCATAAAACTACAGATCTTTCTTTTTGACTACTATTATACTCCATTTGCAATAAGTTGTGTAAATTTAAATTAATTATACCAATGTACGCATACTCTGGTATATGAATAAATTTAAGAAATCATTGAAATTCAATTAAAACATCTCATTAAAAATATACAGATTTTAAAGCCTTTTATTTATTTATGCAAAGTTCATTTAAATTTACTTTATTCTATTATTTTTTATTTATTTATTCATTTCTTAATTCACTTAAATATATTTCTCCTCCTGGCCCCGGGGATTAAAGCTAAAAATTAAAAATTAAAATCTATTTTCTTTAACTCAAGTATTTGATTATTATGTTAAAAAGTATTATATGAATTAATATTAATTTAATAATTAGTTTACGTTTGCTGCAAAGTTCAATCAATTCTTTATAGATAGTCATAAATATTTCAAGATCTATTTTCTATGATATTTTTATAATGAAAATTGACTTTAGGTACTTAAAATATAGATATATATATATTTTTTTAATCATGTAGTTTGTTTTTGAATATATATTTGTGTGAGTGTATATATACCTACGCGTACATGTATATTAGGTTCTTATAAATGTATTAATAGAAAATAGCTACAATTTTATCTATGCATGAAGTTTCAATCTATAAAAGTATTTTGTACAATGTATTAATGGTGTTTATATTCTTGTTAGTACATGTACTTTATATTATTTAATTATTAGTTTTGGGCACAACTGGAAATTTGTTTAACCAAAAACTATTTACATTTTTAATGTATCACTAGTATCATTAGCTTCACAATAAGCAACTAATTTTTTTATTAAGATTTTTTTAATTTCTAATAAAACTGTACGTATATGTATTATAAAGATTACATTGTAAAAAAAATTCTATAAACATTTCTTATAGCATTATAAATGCATTAATTTAATTTACTAATATGAAGTAAACAGTACATGTAAAATTATGATTAAAAACTTTAGTTTTGAAAAAATTTAGAAAATCACATCCAGATGTTGCTCATTAATAGTTAATTATATTAAATTAATTTAATATAAAGATATATGTACTTTGATGTATGTACAGATATAAATTATTAATAATTAATAATAGGTAAGTCATTAATGTATCATTCGTCTATTTTTTTTTTCTTATTTATTAAATGTTTTGTTGGCTTTAAGTACTCGAATAATGTAAATATAAATATAATACATTTTTTAATGGATAAAAATTATAATAACTTACACGTACCTTTATTTTATGATGTACTGTTGCAGTGAAAGGATCGCAAACGTCGAAATATTGAATATCAACAGCACTGCTTCATCCACATAAACTTTATATAATGTGTCAAACAAAGAGGAGAGTGAAATAGATGGTCAAAAAAATTGAAGCTCAAAATAAATTAATTTTTTTTTGGTGATATATAAAGAATTAAAAGAAAAACTAAAACTATAAAGGAACAAAAAATGAAACGACGATAATATCAACGAAGACAATGAAGTAACTTTCTCACGAGCTGCTTCTTTACCCTTGGTTAAGCTCTCGGATGAACACACACATCTGTTTGCGCAACTACGTATACAAACGCAAAGAGCAAAAGAGAGTAATATGGAGATAGATAGATAAACAGATATATATATATATATATATATATATATATATATATATATATATATATATATATATAGAGAGACAGAGAGAGAGAGAGAGAGAGAGAGAGAGAGAAAGAGAGAGAAAGAATGGAAACGTGTGTATAAACTTAAAAAAAATTGTGCCGAGAACTATTTAACAAATTAATAGACGACTAAGATGAAACGAAAAAAAGAATATGCGAAGAATATTTCATAAAAAAAAAATTACTACAACATGTTATATACACCAAGCAAATTAAGACGCTACAATATTTGTATATAAAAGTGAATATAAGATAAAAAATAAATACAAAAATTTAATTAACGCAATGCGAGGGCTTTCAAATTATTAGAGGAAAAAATGTAAAACGTAAGAATTTACGTAGACGAATATACGAGCAATTATTGGGCAAATGAAGATAAAAAATTATTAAAATAAGAAAGCTATACCGTTTAACTGAAAGTTGAACATCGTGTATGTTAAACTGTTTTTTTTTCGGGTATACATGCATTATACATAAACATATACAAATAATCTCAATTGTACATAAATTTTGCAAGTTTGATGGATGCACGATTAATTGCTTATGCTGCCAGATATCAATTTTATCCGAAATTTCAAATGATTTATTTAGTTTTACATTAATTTTGTCTTTTACAAATACGTGTAGTATAAACAAATTATTTTTAATGATATAATTGGTAATTTATGGTTATTAAAAATACAAAACAATGTTTTTTAATAATTTTATTAAATCATTTATATGATCGAGATAAAAATCGCAAAATATTTGTCTACGTATTAATCGTTTAAACAAATCATTATTATTATTACTATTATTATTATTATTATTATTATTATTATTATTATTATTATTATTGTCGTTGTTGCCGTTGTTGTTGTTGTTGTTGCTGTTGTTGTTATTATCATCATCATCAACATCATTATTACAATCATCGTGATTCTCATCGTTATTATTATTAATATTATTAATATTATTATTATTATTAATATTATTATTATTATTATTATTATTATTATTATTATTATTACTACTATGACTAAAATGGTTTAGTAATTATATACTTATTTCATTTTATATTGGAAATAAAAATCCAATAACTCTTATAATTTACTGAAATAAACCTATAATATTGCCTCTTATGAGATCACTTTTTATTTTACTTTTTTCTTTCTTTGTAATTTATTTTATGGATATTAGGTTATATTAGGTAGTTTTGCATTCCTTTAAATGGATATTACTAATTAAATAATTTTAATCTAATTTAAATGTATATTTTTGTTTTTACGATAATCGTGGTTCGAAGTAATATGCATAATGCATGTTAAATAAATCGGTCTAAGAGTCAAGTTTTCTTTTCAAAAAAAAAAAGATAATAATAGGAGAAGAAAATGCGGTAAATGATTCAAAAATAATTAATACTGAAATTTTAATGATAAACAATATATGCCTTCCGCTAATATAGTATCATGTAACGAATTATAAGACAAAGAAAATACACAAAAATTACATGTACGTAAAAATACGAAAACATGAAACAATGATGTGATATTATATAAAAAAATCACAATTGTTTGATTTTATACTAAGCGCTATATAAAGTATATTGTACTTTATTCATTTACGTCATTAAAGAAATAATTTTCGGCTTAATGTTATGTATAAGGTACACGCTGTTAAAAGAAATGCACTAAAAACTTGATTAATTTCTTATTAAATAATACTGTAATTATCCATGTGCAAATCTATCCATTTTGAATTCTAATTATTGTATTGTCTAAAAAAACAAAAATTTGTTTTAAAATAATTATATTTTTATTTTTATATATGTTTCTTCCAAAAATTAAACAAAATTCTTGAATGAAAAATCGAAATACATGATATAATCATAAATGTACCTTCATTCACTCATAAATTTTGCAAACAAACACACTCATATCTGACAGATCTATTTGATTTCGTTGTCATCTCTATCGACACGATCATTATCATCATCGTATTATCATCGCCAGCTATAATTTCACCATTTCAATCATCGTAATCACCACTATCAATATTACAATAAAATGATTAATAGTTCTTATCATTACTATTCATAGTATTATTCAAAATACTTTTGTTTAATTCAAAATATTTTTTTTTTATCTCATATATATATATATATATATATATATATATATATATATATATATATATACATATACACATACATGCATATACACATACATATATACATAGGCAAGTATCTATTTTTTTATGATTTACAAGAAAAGTATTATTTTATAGACTGTAATACTAATTTTTATTTGTATGCAAAATAACATTACTTATATATCGGATCATATTTATGTTGAAATGTTTCATATTAATTAGAAATACTGCTGTAATCATACATATCCTAATTAATTTAAGGCGTTATATCAAGAAATTTACATAAAATTGTAATTAAATAAATATATGCAAGAGTATATTGATTTCATATACTGAGAGAAAAATAATTATATAAATAATTTTTTTTATAAAAATTTATATTTTTACAGCATAAATTAAATTTGATTTATAAGCAGGTATAATTGATTAGATGAAGACGTTTATCTACCTCGTTCAAATAAATTATTCAGATATGTATATCTTAGTGTACGATTTCATACAAACAATTGCATATAAATATTTAACTGCATCGTAAGAGGTTTCATCAATATTATTAATAAATTTAATTATTAATTAAACGCTATAAATATTTAATTAAGTTAATATTATTATTATCTTATATTTATTAAATACGAGTTACTTCATAAACAACGTAATAAACGAATTTATGCCAAAGTTTCATGAAATTTATAGCTTGTAAATTTATAGCTTTCGTAATTAAACGCTCTAAAATTTGTTTAAATTGCAATTGAAAATCATATTACAAAGTGGCATTTTCTCTATTGAATTATCGCTTATCATATTATTGCAAATTCATAGTTAATTAAAGAATAAAAGATTAGTATAATTATTAAAAAATGAAATACTAATTTATAACACACAAATCCTAAATTCTTTTATTGAATATAAAAATTTAAGTAAATTTTTTTATCATTTTTTTTATTTAACAAATATAGTTATAATTAAATATAATATAATTATAATTATAGTTAAAAATATATAAAATGTTGCCAAATTATAATTTAAAAGACATTTTTCAATGAATATAATTATTACGTAGTAATTCAATATTTTACAAGAATTAACACTCTATTAACTTTATATTAACTTTAAATTAAATTTATTGTAGTAACTGCAATCATTGAATTGATAACATTTTTTAGAGTGTAAAATAATAAAAGTGTTAAGATATGAAATGAAAATATAACGCTTAGTAACTCAATCTTTTCTAAATAATAAAAACAAAAACAAAAACAAAATAAATAAATAAACAAATATGAAGTATACACTTTTTACAAGCGCCAATTAAATAAATTATTGAAAAATAAAATTAAATAAAAGTTGACGTACTCGTTTAAAAAATATACTATATACTTATATAGATGACCATATCTCTCAACTCGCTACCTAGGATTGATTAAAAAATAAAAAAAAAAAAAAAAAACCCCGGTATCTAAAGGATTTTTTACTCGTGAGAAATGCAGGTGTAGGCTAAATTTTAATAGTTACTATAAAAAAAATTAACATTATAACGTAATAAAAAAGATACACTTAAAATGAAAAATAAAAAGTTCTAAAAATAATTCGCGCAATTAAAGAGAAACAGAAAATATACTCTAAGCAGAAACATGTATTTACTACGAGACTCTATTACATAAGGCAATTTATATCAAATAATCTAACAAGGACTAATAAAGAAATTTCCCAATTCTGCATTCAATGAAAACTATTTTGCGCTACACACATGCACAGCAACAAACAGATGCAAACACAAACACAAACACAAACACACGCACACGCGCGCGCGCACGCACACACACACACACACACACACACACACACACAAATATACATGTATATGTATGTACTGCACAATTACGTAAAATAGATTTACGATAATTAATTGGTTTGTTTTTTCACGCTGGTTTTGAGTAGAGCTTATCGAAGTTGAACGATCTTTATAAGCTCACAACTATTATGTATTATATACATATGTGGATTATATATTTAATTATTTATTACGAAATAGTTAAGTAATTATTGCACTTATAACTAATTTAAATAATTTTTTGCGTGTAATTTAATAAGCAACAATGAATGAAATGGATGAGAGTAAATCTGTAAAATTATGTCAATACCAACGTATTCTAGTTTATACGAATTAAAATTAAATATATAAAAAGTTTTACTTTTTTAATAATAAAAATCATAATTATAAATAATTATGTATTTAATTTTTATAAAGAATGAATCAAGCGCCAATTTAAAAATTTAACTATAACCGAATGAATTATATGAAATATCCTACATATAACAAACGAACGATTGACATGCGGCTTCTGAATAAAATTATCTTTTCCAGAAAAGAAAACTAATTTTTTGACGTTATTATAATAATTTATAATTATTAATATTTCATTATGATAAGGGCAGCTGAATCAGATAGTTTAACTTTTAAAATTCGTTAAAACGGAACGAAGACTCAAACATTAAGATCTTTTAATGGACATTTTCATCGAAAGAAAATCCTAGCGAAAGGAAAATCATAATTGAACAAGAAATGAAATGAAATATATTTCTTGTATACACATAAGAATGAAAAACGTTATAACATGCGAATAATAACGTACAATAAGTACACTAAATTTATAAAAAGAATTATTTATCTTTTTAAAATTAATTATAATGAAAAATTTTATCTTGGCAATTGTCGTATTTATCTAATAATTTTTGATGGAATTTATTTCAAAAATTTTCAGAGAATTTTTCAGAGAACAAATAATTAACTTACTTGTCCAATATTTTGTAATAACAATTATTTTTATGTAAATTTGGATAAATTTGAGTTGAATGTAGATAAATTTTTAGATAAATTTATTCATTAGATACATCACAAATTTTCACAATTATAGTTTATAATTGCATCTTGAAAATATTTAAAAACTAATTGCAAAGCATCTACAATATATTTAAAAAATATAAATATATAGATATTAAAATGATTAAAATAAAGTGAAGCAGGACAAGTTAGCGAAGCATTTCATGGCTTCTCATAACTGTCATAGGATGTGACAAATTGTGTCCAATACATTCATTCGCACGCATTGACCGTTACATCGTTTATGAAAATGTAGAATTTTCGAAATTCAACGGGGGAACAAATTTTTTCGCCCTTTATGGTGCCGATAATATTTAATATGTAAATAGGCATGCCTCCATATTAGGTGGCGAATAAAAGAAAAATGATATAAATGATGCTATGTTGATTAGAATTAAATGACGATAAAATATATAAAATGGCACGCGTCAAAACTTCACGTAAAAAATATATATAAATACATGTTAATGACGAATGAATAAAATTAATATCTGACTTTGTACCTATATACTATTTAACTTTTAACAAAATAAAAAAAAAAAAAAAAAAAAAAAAAAAAAAAAAAAACTATTAGAGTGGAACCGGAAATTGCAACAACTACGAAAAAGTAATATAAATCTGGTAAACGAAAAGGAATAGAAACCGATTTTACATATATGTAGTCTATTTAAATTTATATATTTTGCAAATTTTAATTTAAAATAATTTGAAAAATTCATTCGTAACGTAAAATGTTTAATGTCAATTTTTTCCACCGATTATTTATGCAAAAATAAATCATCATGGGAAAAATATTTTTTATATGGACAATCATTCGAATTCGTTTTCGTTTACTATCCAGAAAGCGTTTAATATATTAACAGAAAAAGTAATCGTTAGTGAATGCAATTAGAATTGTCGAATTTCGAAATGAATGTGAAACTATTGCATATTTGCGAGGTAGAAAGCATGGGAGGGGTACTTTTGTCGAAACACTGCATCCATTATACAATTACCAGATAAAAAAAATGCCCCAAAGCCAGATATGGCGCGTGACAATAAAGTGATTCAAATATCATAAATGCTGGACTTCTGATTTTTTTTTTCAAATTCCATGCATAAATTTCATTATAAAAAAAAAATAAAAAATATTCCTAATGTTTACCACGTTTTTTACAGCAAAGAGAAAAATTACTACAGTGATTTTTATTACAGATACTGTAAAAGCTTTAATTTATAAGAATATTATTTTTTAATTTTGACAAATTTTTATACAATGTGGAGGATAACAACTTTGGAGAATTAATTAAAACTTAATATTTTTCTAAATAATAATCTACAAATATAATATGTATAGTACAGATTGTAATTATCATTACAAAAATTCTATTACTTTCTAAGAATATCTATTTAAGTAATACAGTAGTGGATGGCAATCACAATAATTGTCACGATAAGGCATTAATAATTTCATTTACATACACATTGCATAGTATTAAAATTACCTCTTTAAATATTTAAAAGCATATGATATAGAACAAATAAGTCTATAAAATACATAAATCAAAATTTTCACTATTTTATGAATCTGTGTTTTTTAGAAATTTATTGTAGCTTATATAAAAAATTGTACATAATTAATTTTAACATCACACAGAAATGAACTTAAATTTTTATAAAAAAAAATTACATATTGTACATTTGCTTAGATATATTATAAAGAAATTAATAATACATTATAGGATTGATTAAAAAGTTTCTCTTACGTAGAGTTGTTAACAAATTTTACAGAATAACTACCGCTCGATTCGTCTTTTTGCATCTGAAAATTGTTCGTCGATAGTCCAAAGGGTCTTAAAACCATATTGCCAAGATCTTTCAATTTATCTATCATTTCGTCTTTTAACTTTTCATTTCTTTCATTAATCATTGTCTCGAGCGTCTGTTCAAAATACAAGTAAAATTATTCAATAATCGTATAAACAAAAATATAGAAAATATAAATAATCTTTTGTTTTCAGTAAGTCATTTAACAAAAATTATATGTTAACCATAAATTTTTGTTACCATTTTTACAGTGCGTGTAATAATACCAAAAAATATATTCTTACTTTAATAGCAAATATCGATTCCTTATGCATTGGGTCGAAGGTCAATATTTGTTTATAGTCGGCTAATGCCTCATCAAGTTTATTTATTTCTTTATACAGCTGAGCTCTTCTCATATAAGCTTTCACATAATCTGAATCTAATTTAATAGCTTCCGTACAATCTGTGATTGCTGAATTTTTATCTGCCTGAAATACAAAGAAATAACTGAAATTTTGATTTTTCAAAATATTAATTTTCAAGTATATCATTCAAGACGTACAATAAATTTAGCTTTCGATGCAGCCCGATTAGCAAAAAGAATTGCTCTATCTTTTGTGAATTGTAAAGGGCAAGTTAGTAGACCTTCTGTGTAACTCGATGCGGCACTTACATAATCTCCATCTCGAAAGAAGTTATTACCCTTATTTTTATAATTATCAGCATCACTTTTCAATCGCTAAGTATAAAAATATAAAATTATTCTTAATTATTTTTCTATCGATGATTTCTTATTTTATAAATATCTGTTATTTATAATTTAACGCAATAAAAATTCATCCTTATACCAAATAAATAATTTTGTCATAGGGAACTCATTATTAACCTGTTTCTCATCTTCTGATAGGGTTAAATCTCGATCTTTTAAAGCAATTTCATTAATGAAGTATTCGTCCTTCTCCTGCTCATTAGCATTATCATCACTTTTTGTATTGGATTTGTATTCCTCATTTGACTTATTTGACTCATCATTTCCCGGACAAACATCGAGAGAACTTTTTTCATCTTGCGCTTCTAGTTTCGCAGACTTTTCTAAATCCTTTGTTAGCTCGTCGATGATTTCTTTATTTGAAGGTATCTTTCCTTTGTCCCCCTGATTATAATCCATTTTGTGTAAACTATGCTATTAAAAATAAATATCATTTAAGCTTTAGCGAGCGTTTTATTATTAATCATCCTTCAATAATGTATATCATTAATAAAGAAATACCTGTATAGATTAGGTTACGTTTTGACAGCATCCATCGAATATGGACGAATTTATTTAAGTTTAACACACCAATGCGGCTGTGCCTTTATAAATCATAATGACGCACGCACAGTCACGCACGCAAACAGGCAAACAGGCAAACACGCCACACGCAATCTACAGAAATAACAATTTTAACGAAAACGAAACTAAAGCCAGATAACGTATAGCAAAAGTGCAATGAATGAATGGAAAAAAATGGAACTCGTGTAGATCACATAAGACTATCGGGAAAATCTAATGAAAGCGGAAAAAATTTGTCGCATGCGCAACATGAAATACACTGATTTGTCAATTTCATTAGCCCGCGAGCTCTACGTTTATTGAATATAAAAAATTCAATTTTTTAGCAAATCATATAGTTATTGTGCACCCACATGACATTTTCATTAAAAACAAAGAATAGAATATAAAAATAACTCGCTAAATGTCCCTTCATTGTTCTCATAAAATATCTATGTAATGCCCGGCACGAATATATTATTCTCACGTGATATCTCTTACAATTCTTTAACTAAGTGCAAAATTAAATATTAGTATGCAAATTCCTAAGTCTAATAATTCATTCGTACGGGGTAAAATTAATGCTTCAAAGGAAAATCATAATTTACAGTAAATAACTTTTTTTTTTAAAGAATTTCATTATACGGCTCTTTGATAGCAATATAAATAATTAGATGAGAGAAATTAGATTTTACCCAAACTAAATTTCCACAAATACCATCCATCCTATAATTTACTGTCTAGATTGGTTAGTCAAACAATAACTTACATCTATTTGTGAATATTTTTTTTTACTAAATATTCAAACAATATTGACAATATTATTGACGATACAGCAATTATATTTATAATACAAATACACTGTAGTTTTTTATGTGCTGCTTTATTGAAAGAAATAAAAAGAGAAATAGATGGAAAGATCGGTGAAGAGAGATATATTTCTTTACGACTACCGCATTAAACATAACCTTGCTTGGATTTTTCTACAGTTTTGGATTATAATATTTTAATCTTTGAAAAATATTTGAAATCAGCGCTGCTAGTGGCAAAAACAAGAAATTTATCTAAGTTACGACTTTTCAAGCTATTACATGTGACAATAGGAAAAATTAGTCTCCTTATCGTTGGCTTTTTTCAAGAATATATAACTCATAAGAATGCGCCGGATTTTCTTAACAAAAACATGGAATATTCAACTGATTCAAAGAAGATTTTATAAAAAAAGTCAAGTTCGTGTGAGATTTGCTCCAAGTCCAACAGGTGTGTTTATATACTACTTAACAAATATTTTTCTATTAACATTTCAAGTCTCCTAAAGACCATTCATATAAATTTTCAAATTCTTAATATTTCAAATTATTCCTCAAATCAATTATAATTTTATTAATATTTGCATAACATTCGTTCAAAGATTATTTGTCATCTATGATATCTATTATAGTTTTTAAAATTATGTTTATTAATTATATGTGTTTATATATATATATATTTTTTTTTGCTTTTTATTTTAGGACTTTTACATGTCGGTGGACTAAGAACGGCACTTTACAATTATTTATTTGCAAGATCGCATAATGGTTACTTTATTTTGAGAATCGAAGACACGGATCAAACTAGAATTATACCTGGATCGATGGAACAAATTCACGATGATTTAATATGGGCTGGAATCATACCAGACGAAGATCCTATAAGAGGTGGCCCTAATGGGCCTTATATTCAGTCAAAACGAATTGATATTTATAAAAAATATGCTAATATTTTATTAAACAATGGTGCAGCATATAGATGCTTTTGTTCCGAACGTAGATTAGACATGTTGAGAAAAACAGCGTTAAAAGAGAGACAGATTCCAAAGTACGACAATCGTTGTCAATATTTTACCGATGAAGAAGTAAAAGAGAGACTTAAAAGAGGAGAACTGTATTGCATTAGATTCAAGGTATGTTATAAAATGTTTTTTATTTGCGTATAAGTCAACTATTGTAAATCAATGTAGTTGAGTCATATATCATTAAAAAATGATAAAGTACTTTTTCATAATTTAGTCTCTATTATTGGTTTTCTTAGATGATTAATTTGCATTATTTCAGTATTAAAAATATTTACCTATTATGTGTGATAAGCAATTCTATTTCATATTATAAAAAAAAACTATATATATCTCAACAGTATTTTTCACAGATAAATAATAATTGTAATATTAAAAACTAATACTTAAAATTAAATATTATAAAACAACTTCTGACTTTGTATAGAAAAATTAGAATATTAAATATATTTACTTAAATAATAATCAACAATATCAAGAAAAATAATTTAAATTATATTTAAAATTTAAGGAACAACAAATTGTTGTTAGGGTATATGTTGATATTCGTATGACGATATTCGTTAGTAAGAAAAATTTGTTACTGCCTTTTTATTTTAAATCATTGATAATGTAGTTTTATAATTTTTTTCATTTTGCTTTTCATCGTTCATTATAACAAAAAAAAAAAAAAAAAAACGTTTAAGGTCAAGCACATATTCATAACAAATACTATCTAGATAAAACAAAATGTATTTTTAAAAGTAGAATAAAACGGACATGCTCTCATCAAAGAACGAAATTTATCTAATTATCTCGGAAATTAAATTCATATTAAAAATATATCATTATTAAAATATTACATCATCATATTAACTAATTTTTTTTTGTGTCAATCGAGGTTATCAATTGACAAATAATGATAATAATGCTAACAAGTATTTAAATAATGATAATAATGTATTTAAGTTTTAGTAATTTTTAAATAACTTGTCATCTTAAAATATAAATAAAAATATTGATTTATAGTTATTATAATTTATATTAATTAAATCAATCTATCAATCAATTGGTATTATCATCAATTCTATTATATATATATATATATATATATATATATATAGATGCTATAATAATTTACGTCAACATTATATGATGTAAAAAGTATACGGCCGCGTATATATCTAAAAATTGAAAAATTTGAATAGTATTTTTAATCAATATTGCACATATCTAGATATGTTTATATTTCATGTCAACAAATTAATATAATGTTTATGTAAACGATCGTTATTAACGAAAGTTAAAACTCTGTAGTTGTTTTCGAAGAATAAGCTGTTTACTCTACAATAATTACATCTCGAAACAAAAACATTTTAATTAAATGTAATAGCGCATTCTTTATAATAAATCTAATTTTACATACGTATTATTATGATACTCTGTAATAATAAAAAAACTTTTAATCAATAAATTTATTTATATATAGATTAGCGAAGTAAATTACAACGGAAGATATACTTTTAATATTTTATAGCTCACACCTACACCAGAACCTTTCAAAGACTTAATCTACGGAGATATTACCTACAATGTTGCTAAAAATGAAGGTGATCCTGTTATCCTTAAGGGCGATGGCTTTCCAACTTATCATTTTGCAAATGTAATCGATGATCATTTTATGGAAATTTCTCATGTCCTACGGGGAATTGAATGGCAAATATCAACTCCGAAACATTTATTACTTTATAAGTAATTCAATTCCTCTATTCAATTTAAGTTTGAAAATAAATATTTAATCGTATTAATAGCTGATTTAATTGTAAAATAAATTTCTTATAGAGCATTAGGATGGACACCTCCACAATTTGGTCATTTACCATTGGTACTCAATGGGGACGGGACAAAGTTGTCAAAAAGACAAAATGATATTACGGTGGAACATTACAGAAAACATGGTATATTTCCACTAGCCTTAATCAATTATATTACCGCTGCTGGTGGTGGTTTTGTTCGAGATAAAGGTCTTTCTCACTGTTACACTTATCAAGACTTAATACAACAGGTGCATATTTATTAATAACAATTCTTATTTTCGATAAATATTAACAACAACAAAATATACATAACTAACATTAAAATGATTTGTTTCATTTAATTATTTATAAATAATTAAAACTGTATTGAAGATCTATTTTTTATTTTTATAGTTTAATGTTGATAAAATAAATATGAATTCTAGTAAATTAGATGCAGATAGATTATTGGAGTTTAATAAGCTAGAAATTTCAAATCTTTTAAATAATGAAAAAAATCACAAATACTTAGTCGAAAGAATTATTAAACTTGTAAAGCAAGCTTTCCCAGACAGGTAACTTATTATTATTATTATTATTATTATTATTATTATTATTGTCATTATTATTGTTATTATTATTATTATTATTATATGCATAATAAATAATATTTATAACATCATATTCCATTAGATCACATGGTCAAAACTTACAACTTGATCCAACACATATAATAACAACATTGATGTGGGCTCGAGATAGAATTTCAAAACTCAGTGATTTAGTAACTCATGATTTAAAATTTTTGTGGGTGAAACCAACCACAAACGAAAATACTAAAGATTTAAAATATTTAGAAATGGTTGATATACTCAGTAAAAAACTTGAAAATATGAATGATGATAATTTTTGTAAAGAATCTTTGAAAACTTACCTAAAAGAATTTGCTAATAACAATAACGTTCCATTCCCGGATTTAATGAAGACTTTAAGAACTCTTCTAAGCGGTTTGAAGGTACTTAATCAAAGCATTATAATTTTAATTAACATAAATAAAGATTCTCTGTTATAAAAATCTTGTAGGAAGGCCCGGGTGTTGCCGAAATGATGGAAATTTTAGGAAGAGATGCAACTTTAAATCGTTTGAAACGAAGTGTTACATAAAATTCTTTAATTGATTTACTTAATTAATATCGTATAATTGGCTATAATATAAATTTTTATAATTATGAAAATAAAAATTAGTATATATAAAATTACCTATTAAACAAGATTCACGTAATTTATATCTGTGTAAATAAATCTTATTATATCTAATTCATTAAATAATTATTAAAATTTATTATAATTATTTTATATTTATATGAAATAATTGCATTTTTTTTAACGAAATATTTAAATTACAGAGATAAATACAATGAGATAAACAATTACAAATTTATTATTTCATGGTCTTCCTCGTGACTTTACTCTATTAATACTTAATGATTAATTAAATAAATCCTGTATATAATTCTTGTACAAATAATAAAAAGAAATTGATACAACGTATAAATTAAAAAAAACAATGTACATACTTTGTTGAAATAAAACAATATTACAGAGCTTAAAAATTGAAGTTTATTGTACATAAACATCATTAAGGTACACTAAAAAGTTAAAAATACGTAAAGATGGAATATAGTCGTTTTTAGCTATATATATATATATATATATATATATATATATATATATATGCATTTATGAATGAAATTAAGTTTTAAACTATGAAATTACTAATGAAACTAAACAAGAACAATTTTGTATCCGTGTGTTTTTCAACAAATATAACACTAAATATGATAAAACTATATATTAACGATCGTTGAATTATAAATAACTAACTCGTATTTCATACGAGTTTCCGCATTTCATTTCGATGCCAATTATATTAACGCACTTATAGTAATGTTAACAGATTTAATACTTCTGATTTCACTTTAAGAATATATTTATTAATAGTTATTAATATCGATTAATAGTATCAATTTCTATTAGAAATTTATAATCGATCATAAAAATATAAGATCTTAATGAAAATTTTGAGGAAATTAACCATTACATGCAGTCGGTTAAACGTCGCTTTAAAAAAATTTTCATATTAAATAATATTTAAATAAGTCATAAAAATATTTTATATACAATAACAATCGAATTGATTATATAAATATCTTGACAGCTAATATTTATTCAGAAATTATCATAGAATAATAAATAATATCTTAAAGTGAAACAAGAGATGACAAAAGCAGATAAACGAGATCGTTATATAGTAAATAGTTCATGATTTCTCAACGCTAATTGAACATAATAAGTTTTATCTTTATATACGCTGTTAAAGTTTTGTAAGTTTTTTCAGATCGAATCATGTGCATTCAATAGAAAACTAGGAAAATATCGAAATAAGTTTATTTAATAAACACGGCATCCTTGTAAAACTAAATAAGTATAAATGTACATTTAATAGATTTATAATTTTTTTTAAACACAGTAAATTAGAAATTTTTATCCTTTTTCTTTTTTCTAATAATAATATTAAATTTTGTAAACATGCTTTGCATTTTAAATGTTTAAAATTAAATACAAATTCAAAATTTATAATCTGCAAAATGTTCCAAATTTTATAAGTAAAGTAAAATATCTTACAAGAATATAAAATTCTAATTCTAATTCTAATATTCTTCATTACAATGATTAAATTATTAACCATTGATTGATAATAATTTATAATTAATTTCATTTTCATTGAACAATCTATCCCATATACATTATATTTATTTAGTTTCCAGCCACTTTCACAAACATTACAATTATAATACTTTCCAATAAATTTCACAATGGACAAACTAAATAAAAAAGTTAGAGGTATACAATATGTATTAATATTCATTATCACAGTATTTTTAAATATAAATATTGTTTATTACTTGTTACGTTTCGCACGATTGAAACTACGCTAAAAGATTTCTATCTATAATTCTACATTTTATTCACTCATAATTACTTCTCGTGTCTACAAGTGTGCATTTTTGTCGTCGCATATTATAAATAAATAATGGAATTAAAGAATGACATTTTTCATTGTAAGGTGCTACAATTGCTTTCAGTTTCCTTTTATAATCCAACATCGTATAAATTACCTACATAATATTAAGAGCAACAACGTTAAGTTGCAAAAAAAAAAAACCGGCACTTTATACATAACATTTTACAGTAAAAAAGTCCAGTAAAAGAGTTAACGAGCTATTGCTTAAATATACAGCTGTAGATAGACGTACATAATATATATTTTTTTCTCCATAAATGAACTAACGTAATAAACATAATTTTTAACTTATTGTTGGAATTATAGTATCAGAAACATAAATTACTTATTAATAAAGGTTGAAAACCATTTTCTAAATAATATTAGAAACAATCTTTTAATTAAAGAAAACGTCATTTCTAAATATTTTTATTGGAATTCTTATTTTATTTTTATTATTTAGAGGAATTATTACTTATACTTCTTTAGTTACTTATACTTTTAAGAAGAACTACATTAGAAAGGCAAGAATTGTTGTCCAAAGACTACTTCCACAAAATGCTTGCTAAAAATGCCTAATTACAATATTTACGAAATTAAGTTCTGCATTATTATAAATCCTTATTATTATTATTATTTTTTAATTAATGAAATATTCAATGCGCATAAAACATATTAAATTTATTAAAAATTCAATATCTATATAAATGTAAATAAAATTGATTGCAATTTGGATGTAATATAATATGAGAAAACTTATATTAATTTAGCATTATTCACAATTTTAATTCTATAGAACGATTAACTTATATTTCTTTTTTTTTTTTTTAAATAAACATCATATGATGTAGGAAATATTCGAATAAAGCATTTTTAGCAAGACAAGTATGTGTAAAAATTGATTTATGTTAAATTCGAGTAAAATAATTCGTTTAATATTAATTTTTCCTTTTAATAATGTGAGTTCGTTAAAAGGTTTCAATTTTACGAATATGAATTATTAGTTTAATGATTTATGAATCGGCTAAAGTAAAATTTGATAACCGTACTCTTCTTCGATTGAATTTTCATTCTCAATTAAAAAACATACTTTGAACTGAGTGAAAACGGCCATTTCAAATAGAACAAAGATCAAGTGATACAATAATTATATGAAAATTTTATTTATAGTAAAAGGTCTGTTAAAGAAAATTTTAATTATTTTTTGTTTTTCATAAATAAATACTAAAAATAAACAATAATTAACTATCCATTTAATTTTAACGTTTACGTAGGTTATTGACGAAAAATATTGTAAAAAAAAAACTAGGAGATAAATTTGATTGTTAAAGATTTCGTTAATTAATGCATAAAAGAAAGTACTGATTATTGAATTGAACATTAAAATATTTTTAAAATAAATAAGATTCAAAATGTATAATTTGTACTTTCAGATGTATTCTACTTCGAGCATGAAGTATAAATAAATTATTTAAAATACATGAAATTAACTATCAAATGCAAAAAAGTAAGTGAAGTATTTTAAATATTTTTATCATTGTCAAGACTCGCGCCTTCCGATTTTATTATTTTGCCTATAAATTCAAATAACTTAAACAATACTTGGAAACATTTAATAAAAATAAGATTATGTAAAAGTTTTCTCTCTCGCTCTTTTCCATTCATTTGCTTCGTTAGTAATGGTACAAAATATCACAAGAGAATGAAAGAACATTAAATTAAATATTTCAATAGATAAAAAGATAAATTATATAAAAACAAACAAACAAACAAACAAAAAAAAAAAAAAATTATGTATTAAAGAGTTTTTTTTTTCATGTCGTTGTAATTTTCTTATCAAAGTACACTCTCTATTTTCCTGGAGTACATAGAATTGCTTATCACAATGACAATACTTTCACTCAAATTTTAAATTACATTTACCAAAATTCTAAACAAAAATATATTTGACATTATTTGTTGTTGATATCTTCTTTAAATAAGCGCATACACGTATAGACAAGTGTCAAAATTTATTAAAATGAAATGAAAGTTAATATTCCTTTAATATATCTATTTACGCATTGTTGGACAAAGTTAATAACATATTTTAAAGAATAAATTTCACTTATTTTTAAAAATTATTTCATTAATATTAGCATAAGAACATGGCAATAACTTTTTAATTGTTTATCAATTAAATTCGTTAAAATAGATATATTCTTCGTATTAAAGATATGATTAAAAAATAAGTCGTGTTTTGCTTTTAACAAACTAGAAATTATATTTTAAATTCGTGTAAAAGTATCTTCGTCTTAATTGGAATGTATTCATGCATTAGATTTAGATTAGGTTAGATTAGGTAGATTAGATTTTGCCATGAAGATTCCCATAAAATTGAATGATAGCTTATTCGCATTCTATTTATGTTCGTTTCTTTCTTCTTCATAAATAAGTTACAGAACAATCATCAAAATGCTCATCTTTATGTATGCTGTGAAATATTTATTTGGCTCGCACTTCTCTTATGCTCTATTTGACTTAGTAATGTTTAATCGTAGTGAAGTTACTTTTTAAGAAAGGCGCTTTAAAAAATGTAAAGTTGGAGTAACGTATATATGTATAATACTAATGTATACATCTGACAAGAAATTGTACAGAGAGGCACAGTGCAGTCGAAAAAGATTATGATTTTGTCTACGACTTCAGGCACTTTTGTGCTCATCGTGCTTGTCCCGTATTTAAAACATTAAAATTTCACAAATCTATCGAGTATATTGAGATTAATATTTTACACGTTTATTGTACTATGAAAAATAACATGAAACATTTAAAAGGTATATTTTAAGGCATAACTTTGAATAATTTTGGGTACAAAAGTTTTCATAGAATGAAAAAGGAGTTAAGTAGTGTTCAAATTTCAATTGAATTTACTTTCTACATTAAGAATAAATATTTACTCTCCACGGCTCTAAAAATGATACTTATCTTATTTATTATGGATTTTCAATTGCTTAGTAATATTTATTTCTTATACCAAGTGTCAATCCATTATTATATGAAAACCAATGTTACGACGATATCAGTTTTCTTTGTTAAATTACTACGGTATCCAATAACTTATTGAAGTTTCTTTAAAAATGTCCTTTAACATTATA